TCTTTTGAGGGGAATTTTTATCTGCATTTTCAACATTTTTTCCATTACTTTTTAAACTAAGCGACAATAATCAAAACAAAGATTTACAAAACAATTTTTATTGACAACAAGTTTTTTATAAGGTACAATCTGCAAAATATAAATATTGTAACAATAATTATTATAAACAGGTAAAAATAAAGGCAAAAGATGGTAAATTTCTCAACTAAACACAAATAAGAATATTTTTGGCCTTAGGACACACAAAGAAACATTTCCAGCAATAAATATATCACTTGCTGGAAACTTTCTGACCACGTACTGTGTAAAAATTATTAAGATTGTAAAATCTTAATAAATTGACTGATAAAAACGAAAAGACAATAAATAATCGGTTTCCTTTTTTGTGGCTTATGACCAATTTTTTTTAAAAGCACATTAACTTAGGTCAAAACAAATTTTAATTCTAAATACAAGAATAGTAATGTTTGATTTTGTTCCACCTTTATTATATTCAAAAAATATAAAAATTAAGAACAAAGCACTTCAAAGCAAGGTGAGTTGCCGATCTAATTATATGACTAAAATTTGGCACATGATTTGAACCTTTGAACTCTTAGGTGGGGAAACTCGTACAGAATAAACAGTTTAAAAAATGTAGTTCCTTGCAATATAAGTAAAAATTTGTTAAATTTAAGAAAAACTTTTGTTGCAAGAGGTCAGAGGTGGAACAAATATCAAAACACCATATATATATAAAACAGGAACAGACATAAATTGATCGATTTTTAATCTCCAAAATCGTGGTTAATACATCTATATAAATAAACAAAAACAATATTTTCGTTATTTTAAAATTTTATGTTACAAATCTATTATCAATTTGTCCGTTCCTACATTTTATTATTTTTATAATAATAGGTACCTAATTATAAAACTCGAAAAAATTCAATGGTTTACTACCATTTAGTTATAATGAAAAAGGATTGTCGAAAATTATTTAAGTATTTTTAGTAAACATTTAAAATTTGTATTCTTTTTTTTAAGGCACATTAAGTTTATTTGAACCACAGACTCAGTTTTATAAAGTTTTTTATACACAATACTTTTTTGTTGTAATAAAAGAAAATATATACCTATTAGAAATAGAAAACAGAAACATGTATAACAATATAGTATTAAATTGGATGCCAATGTGCAAATATAACGTTTTTATATCGTTTTTTTTTTAGATATATGAGGTGATGAAAATTGAATCAAACACTATGATGATTTCGTTAACCGTCATACAGAATGTCATAGAAAAAAGGGTAAAATATTCCGAAAGAGCGAAAGTAAGTACTCAAGAATATGAAAAAAAAAATTTTTTTTTCATTTAATTTAATTATTTAAAATTAATTGTGATGCCTTGGTAGGATTCCCCACTCGACCATTCACTGTTGGGTACTAATTAACAGTGCTGTTCCTAAAGTGGCGCTGGGAAACAGTAACAAAGCCTACACAGAACACGAGGCTAATAACCATAGCAGTTGATGCCGATGACACAAAAAAAACATGTGCCCAAAAATTCATATCGAGGGAGAAATAGGCTTTAGAAATGTATATTTTGAAAAATCGTTTATTAGTAACTAGATTACAAAAATAGATATTTTAGGACACATGTTTGTATACACATTTTTTGTTCAATTTTTTTGTTTAGAAAGATTGATAATCGCTTAATCGATAATATTCAATTTATTGAATAAAAAAAAATAATCGATTATTTTCAATTAATCGATTTTGGTTTTGATTATATTCCAGTCCCATCGATAATTCGATATTAAAAGACGATCGTTGATTACTTTATTAATACGGTAATTGAATTAGATATTTACTAATAATTGAAAATGTGATTATTCGGAAATAAACAATTTAACGATTTTCTATTATTTAAAAACAACTGAATAATGGAAAATAATCTCTAGATTAATCGAATATTCGAAAACAAAATGATTAAATAAATATAAACGATCAATTGAAAATAATTGATTAATCAAAAAAATCGATTATTTTCAATATTTTTAATATTTTAAATAATCGATTATTTATTTTGATAATCGTACTACCAGAACACGAAAATTTTACCTTTTTTCGATGACAACCTATACAAAATAATCGAATAATTAAATAAACAAAAATATTCGAAGTATCGATTAATCTAAAATAATCGAAATAGCCGAATTAATCGAGTAATCTAAAATAATAGAATTAATCGATTAATCGAAAATAATTGAATAGTCAAAAATAATACAAATTTATTAATTAAAAGTAATCGAATTGAATAAACGAAAATATTCGATTATTTTCAATTATATCGAAAATAATCAAATAATTGAATAATCGATTGATCGAAATTAATAAATAAATAATCGATTAAGCAAAAATAATCAATTCTTTTAAATAATCACTCAGCCCTAGTTGTAATCCAATTGTTGGTGGTTGTTTTGAAATTTTTGAGAAAAATACGACTTTCTTTACAAATAAATTCTTAAAAAAGAAACGGTTAATAATAAGGCGTCTGCAAAATCTTGATAAGAATCTATAAGTAATTGACAATTTTTTAAGATGATACGGAAATTGATATTTTGTTTATCTTTATATTGGCGCACCTTCAAAATTAGTAAAAAACAAAGTGTTTCGAAAATAAGTAATTTTACTTTATTTACTTCAATAATAAATCCCTGTAGTGTTTGATTAAGTTTTCTCCACCCTATATATTGTGTCTATAAGAAATAATAATTGGTAAAATATCACTATTTTTTAATATATATATTTTAAATATTTGTATATTTTTTGTTTTTATAAAACAAGTTTTGACTTAAAGCGGCAAAATCTATTTTGTAATATATTTCAAAACATCAAAATAATTTAAATGTTATTTTATAAAAACACATTCTGTAATATATTCATTTAACTTGCTTTTATATTTGCCTGAAAAAAGTTAATCACTTTTTTTTTAAGTTTGAGGTAATTTTAAAACGATATGGTAAGTTTGGGAAAAATGAATCAGAACTATAATATAAAATAATGATGGACTTATCCATTACAGTCCGTTATTATATAAAAATATTTCTTTCAAAAAGGTTTTGATATTTTGTTAGGATGTTTTTACTTTCGATGTTTGTAAATTAATTTTGACATATTTATTTTGGCATAATCTTTTTTTATGATTTTCCAATCTGATCTGCAGAAATCATAGATCGTGGAGGATAAAATGCAATATCTCTACTATTAAGTGCCACCGTTACTTCCCTTTCTTAAAGACTAATTATATAAGAGATACTGTAAAAGGAGCATTATTACTCATCATATAAAAAAAAATACTTTAAGTACATCGATAACGCCATTTTTTTCAATTGACTGTTTTTGTCCATTTGTCAAATTTGTCAAAAAAAAATATATGTTCTCCCTTTAAAACTCCAACATCCTACTTTAATTAAGTAACATTTCATTGAGATACTTTGTATTAATATGTATGTTGAAAAACTGTTTTTTTTTGTAATTCTTTCTTACATTAGACACTAGAAAAGTGTTCTGAAATAGGAGGGACATTTTTGTCCCAATAAAAACATCCTTAATGAAAAAATTCGTGGTCCCGTATCGTTTTGGTATAGATATATCACAGAAAAAATGTAATTCACAATTATTCCCAACCTTACCATTAATACAGTATGCGTCATAAAGTTGAATCGATATGGGATAATCTTTTATTGTGATTTGAAAAACCCGTTGTAGGACAATCAATCACCTAGAAGTAAATTATGTGTTAAGCTGATTAAATTTTGATTACAATTCTCGTTATTAATATTTTAATAAAAAAAATTGGAAAATCATCCATAAAACTCCATTTTTGATTTGAGCTATTTTAAGTTTTTAAATAAACAGAGGTAATAAAAAAGTCATATATGAATCCAACTTTATGGCACACACTGTATATTCAAGCACGATAATAGATTAGCGTCCAATTTGAGTGTATTAAGAACAACACCAAATATACATAAACATATAAATGATAAAAATCTAGTTTAGTGACTATCGTCAAAAAAAAAAACTATAATCGAAAAACCAACAATATGAATATTTAAAATAAAATCCCTTAATAACCTATCACATGAAATAACCATTAAAAACAAAAGAAAACTAATAAAACTCTTTTTTTTAGTTAGTAACTATAGAATAAACTCTACATATATAAATAACAATACATAAATTTATTTTCATCTTTGTAAAAGTTATTTTAAACTAAGTACGAAGGCAGGATCAATCATCATGTAATGTGGTCAATTTAAATCAAGATTTAAAATATAAGTATCAAAAAAAAAAACATCAAATTTTTAGGATTCAGTATGTATTCGTTTGTCATTGTAGTAACACATTAGAGAATATAATTCATATAACCATTATTTGTCAGTTGTAATATCGATCATTTGAGACGATACTGGGGAAATTCAAAACTCATCAATTCTAATATTGTTACAATGGTATTCGCTTAACGCCGCTACTAATAAAAACATTTCAAGTTTCAGATTGTTAAATCAAATTAAACATAAAAAATTGTCAATAATAATTGTACCATTATTTATTACTCGAACCTACTTGAATTTTTTCTTAGTAAATATTAATTCATTGAAAACCAATTAAATATATTAATCGCAAATTCTTCTTACTAAAAATGTTGCAAACTTTCTCAAATTCTCCGTCCATTGGCAACACTGTGTCTTGAGTTCATTAAAAAGATCCACTAATTGGTAATGCATCTATTTAATGCGCCAATATTAACAAAGTCACAAATTCTCCAAATTTGAGCAATATTGACAGTTCCAAAAAAAAAAAAAGAGTATATAACGAATTGTTCACTTGACATTACACATACAAACTTTCATAGGGAATTTGAATTCCTTACAAAAAAAAATATATTAATCGCAAATTCTTTGAACTTTTTTAAATTCTCCAAACTGCAATGTAGAACATACCAACCAAATTTCATGTTTTCTTTTTTAAATACCTTAATCAGATGTTTTTAAAATGACCACATTGCATATCGACTTACCAAGTGTTTCAATCTTCATGAATAAGCGCCGATGTATTCGGGCTTCCATAATTGATTAGAAAAGAAATTATGGACTATTGCGATGTCTCGATCATGATCAGCTGTAGCGATGACCGGCGCTATAGTGACTCCTTCAGGTAAAAGTATACCAAATGGTATCAGAGGATTATCGATCAAATGTCTGGATCTCTGGTTGATGTGTAAAGGCACTTTAGTTTCTTTGGATTCTTCGCCCCCGGTGTCTGTCGTTTCGGCTTGTTGGTGTGGTAACTTCAAAGTCAGTTTCATGGGCATCGAGAGGTAGTTCAAGATGTTTGGTTCGCTTGATAAGGCAAGATTTTCCGTTTTTATCAATTTATTGGCGTTATTTTTGCTTCTGAAATGATTATATTATTAAAATACTATTTTAAAACAAGGCTTCATTACATGCCCCCCACTGTAAAAAACAGCAAAAGTATTCGCTGTAAAATTAGTACATCCTTTGAAATCGCTTACCTATTATGACTACTATAACTGTTCAATCCAAGACTAGCAATCAACTTCTCTCTTTGTAAACGTACTCTCTTCGTGGTGATGACGAAAGCGCTTACGAACGCCTTTTGGCAAACCTCTACGGTGTCGGTAGTCGGTAGTAGCGGCACCAAATATTTGCAAGTTATACGACGCGGTGGTCGACCTGAGTTCGAAGTTTCCGGAACGTTTAGTCTGGCTCTAAGATCCATATGTTGTCGCAAGAATTTATTTTGAAGATCGGCTTCGCCGAGGCCATAGAAATGCGAGAAGAGGCGCTGTCGCGCTTCTAAAGGCACGCTGGAATCACATTTGTGTGGACATTGACAGAGTTCATCTGAAAAACAAAATTAAGTTAGGTGGGATATTGAAGGAGATGCTATGTTCATTTAAACGTGTATTCTAAAAATGACATCAGTGGATGGGCGATCCATTTAAAAAAACAAGTTAGTTCCAGACTGAAATTATAATAATTATATGTATTTTAACACTAACTACCATTCTGTGAATATTAATATTTTACAGGGTGTTTTCTAACTATGATACGAACGTTCAGAGGGTGATTCCTTAGGTCGTTTTATGGAAAAAAGTCCGGAGTTGCTTTGTTTCTGAGATACAGGGCATTTTAAAGTTAAAAAAAAAATGGGTATCTTAAATATCCTTAAACTGATTTGGTTGAAATTTGGTACAGTTTTTTGAAGTTATAAGACGCTTATTTAGCAAGTTTGAAATTAATGGGTGCAATGGCATCTCAGTGGGATCACAGCCAATTTTATCGAGAAAAAAAAATACGCCACTCACTTTTTTTTGTAATTTTTGTATTTATTTCAGATTAAGCAACTAAAAATACAACTTTTTGATGTTTTGTTTTCTTCATATCCAGTTTCGTTTTCGAAAAAAAAAAGCCACTCTATTGCATATCATGAACATGAAAAAAAGATGATTTTCAACTGAGATAAAATCTCTAACACCACTTTGACCATTTTTGGACCATCGAAAATCCCCACAGAAAGTAATTTTCAGTAACAATTTTGGCTGAACCATTGGGTAGGAATTATTGGTGACTACCTAACTGGTCCATTTTTTTACCAGCAAGATTAACAGGTGAATCTTACATGGACTTTTTGCGAGATCATTTACCCATTTTGTAAGAAGATGAGCCTCTACATGTAAGAGCCCTCATGTGGTTTATCCACGACGGGGTTCCAGTTCATTTTAGTGTTCTTGCTCATCAGCATCTCGACATCACCTACCCTAATCGCTGGAATAGACGTAACCACAAAATTGGCCAGCTCACAGTCTCGATATGAATCCTCTAGATTTTTATTTATGGAGTCATCTGAAGGCTCTTGTTTATAAAACTCCTGTACTAGATGTGAATGACTTAAAGAATCGGATAATTGCGAATGCAATGTCATATGGAATACTGCAGGTATTTTTGAACGTGTCAGACAATCAATGACAAATTGATTGCAGTCGTGTATTTTATCAGAAGGTGGTCATTTTACTCATTTACTTTAAGGTCGAAATTGTTTAGTTTTTATTTTTGGTTTTTATCTTGCCCATGGATAGTTTTTAGAATGAGTTAAAGTGATATTAATTTTTTTTTTTTCAAAAGCAAAGCTAAATATAAAGGAAACTCAAGAAACCAAAAAGTTGTATTTTAGTTGCTTAATTTGAAAAAACTTTAAAAAGTCGGTGGCGTACTGTTTTCTCAATAATATTGAGACTGAGACGCCACTGGACCCAATAATTTCTATCTAGTTAGGACTAAATAAGCGCCTTATTACTTCAAATAACTGTATCAAATTTAAACCAAATCGGTTTAAGGATATTTATGATATTTATAAAATACCCATTTTTTTTAGCTTTAACACCCTGTATCTCAAAAACGAAGCAACTCCGGACATATTCATCGAAACTTTTTTTTTTAAAAACGACCTAAGGAATCACCCTCTAAAGTTTCGTGCCCTAGTTAGAAAACACCTTGTATTTTGTATTCCTAATAGTGACGGAGACATTGGACTTGTCACACTAATAGATCACCCTGTATATAATTTTATTACTCTCTAAATATCACTTAAAATTTTATCAAATTAAAAAACAAAATTGAATGCATATATTTTAGAATACAACTTGTTTACAGTCACGTTTTTAATAAATTAGCACTGATAATAAACAATCAATTTACCATAATTCTAACAAAAAAATGTGTTTTTAAAATCGCTAAGTATTAAAGAAAATTAAAAATGTTCTGTTGTCAAGATTTTTCATTTTTCTTTTAGACATTACATCAGAAGCATGAAACTTATTTTTTTTATAATGAACACTGAATGTTCTAGATGCGGTGGTTGGTAATAATTTCGCAAATAAAAATAATTTAGTCGAGGTCAAAGGCTAAAAAGGTGTGTATTAAAAAAAAAAAAAAAACTAAAGTCAATAAGTCATAATTTTGTATTATGAAAATGAATTAGATGTTTGGAGTTAAATAGATCAATGCACATATTTCTTAAACCTTTATTATAAGTGTAAAAATAATTTTAAAACAAAGGAAAATAAATTAAACGTTAAACAGAAGTATCAATTTTGACAAAAACAAGCCTGGATGTCATTACCTATAAATTTAACAATATCTTACTGACGTTTGTTGTATAAAAGTATATATATAATACAACAAATTAAAATGTATTTCGGTGTAAGCGAAATAAATTATAATCATAATTGCCAAATTCTAAAACTAATGTAAATGCACAATATCTCAGAAATTAGTGTTGAACAGATTCTAATGACATAATATGTACATCATAAAATGGTGACCAAACTAGTGACCCACATTCTAATATTGCCCAAACATAAACCTAATGAGAGGTTGTTCAAGATCCTTAACCCTCTAAAGACATATTTTTTCCTAAATTTTTCCTAAATTTTTCTTTAAATTAGGGCACATATATTCCTAATTTAAAGAAAATAACTTATATTAATAGCTTTGTGCTTCACATATTTAAATTGGACCTATAAAATCTAATAAAAGAATGAACCTATACCTATTTATTAATAGTTTGAGTAAGTACTCATTAATTTTACATTTAATGCTTGTTAAAGAGTCAAAGTTTATGTCCAAATTTAATTCAGATGTATATCTATTAAAATTGTTGCAAATGGTATGGATAGGTGAATTTGCAAAATATTTGTTTGAGGTGTGGGCAAGTAAAATACCGTTTTATATCTTGTATTAAAATGCGTTAGTTACACTAAATTTAATTTGGGATAGCAGGTCTGGACAATCCAATAAATTATTAACTAGTTTATAAATAAAAGTTATGTCCTGCAGTACTCGCCTGTCTTCTAGAGGTATTAAAGATAATTTAACCAATAGAACAACATTGACAATTCCACTTTCTGGATAAATCCCATCAATTTAAAACGCAACGTATTTCATAAATGTGCGATGGATAGATTCAATAACTTATGGTAGATATACATTGCATTAGTGACCATATCAGTGCCACATATTCAAGACGTGATCTTACAAACGAGTTGAATAATACGAGGGACACTGCCAAAGTTCGCGGAAAATGTAAAGCAAAACACAAATTACGTTATGTAAATCGCTTTATTGCTTCTCAAAATATTCTCCTTTAAAATCTATACACTTTTGCATCCGATGAAGCCAATCTTCAAAACAATTTTGCCATTCTGAGCGAGGTACCTTCAAAACAAGTTATTTAAATGCTTCAACAGCCTCTTCAGGCGATGAAAAACGTACGCCACGCATTTTATTTTTGATATGTCGAAATAGGAAGAAGTCATTGGGCGATAAATCAGGCGAATATGGGCAATGAGTCATTAATTGGATGTTGTTACTGGTCAAAAACTCTACAGTTCGTCGTGCAGTGTGAGCGCTTGCATTGTCATGATGAAGAATGATTCGCCGGTTTATGTTGTTGCTTCTGATTTCAGCGATAACTTCCGGCAAACAAAGTATACCAGTCAGAATTTACTGTCCTTCGTCCTCTAATGCAACAGTGGCAACATGACCCGTTTTTCCGAAGAAACAAGCAATCATTCTTTTCGAAACGCTTCCTGAACGCACCACTTTTGTGGGTTTAGGTTCATTTTGGAACACCCATACAGTCGATTGCTGTTTAGTTTCAGGCTCATATGAATATATCCAAGATTCGTCACCTGTTACGATGTTATATACCGAATTTGAACGACCCCCTTCGAATTTGTTTAGCATTTCCTTGCACCACTTGACTCGTGCCTGTTTTTGTTCTTCTTTCAAATTGTGTGGGATCCACGACTGCAAAGCTTCCTGACATGCAAATGATCGTGCAAAATCGTATTTGTTTCGCTACAATGCCTAAGGATGCCTCTATCTCACGATAGGTCACATGCCGATCTGACAAAATCATTTCACGCACAGCATCAATATTTTTCGCGACAACAGAGGTACATGGACGACCTTCGCGAAGATCGTCATCAAACGTTAGTCTTCCACGCTTGAATTCTGCGAACCATTTGTAAACCATAGTTTTGGATGGTGCTTCATCCCCAAATAATGAACTAAGTTTTTCCACACATTGCTGCGGTGTTAAACCGTATCGAAAATCATAAAAAATCATCACTCGGAAGTCACGATTCCAAATTTCCATTTCCATTATTACTCTCGTTAAATTTTGTTGAAACGGAACCGAGCAGTTTGAAATCGAACTGTCAACTGAATGATACGTGAAAAACGTCAAATTTTACGAATATGATAATCGCAGAACGCTGGCAATACAAGGAGTACTTGATTCCGCGAACTTTAGCAGTGGCCCTCGTACAATCAGACAGTCTATATTTCTAAAATCATTACAACTTCTCAAAATGAGCCCAAGCATTCTCTTAGCTGTGGATGTAATGTTAAATTAATGACTCCTGGCGAAATTAACAACACTACCATGATTTAAACGTAATCACATGTTCATTGTAAAGTGCATGGTCAGTTGCCACCAATATCAGTTTTACCCAAATCTTTCCCTGGGTTCAAACTTGGGTCGCTTATAAGAGACATAAGACTATACGATTTGCTTAAGAATGTCGATCACAAGCGACATTCGGCCATGATATGTGCTTAAAAAATATTAATATACAGGGTATCCAGATTATGTTTTACCTTTGTCACTTATACGAGATGTTTGGATATTTTAAGTGACTTGCAAATATCGCGTATAGGCAATATTCATACTTAAAGGGTTAAAACAATTTGAGAGCTGTATTTATTGTATGAGGAACAACCGATAGATGTTGATCTACGAGCATCCCTAAATCATTTATACCAATAACATGTTTAAG